TGTACATGCTGGTGCACTTGCCGTTTGGCGCGGGGGGGGGGGGGGAGTTTACCTATTGATGGTGTGAAAAGAAAGGATAGCAGAGCTTGGGCAACTTGCAGACGTCTCGGGGGTTAGTTGGCCATTCACACATTAATATATAGAGGATCGCAGAGCTTGGGCAATGGTTGGCGCTGCCTCGTCGCGTGGCTGCCTTCCTGCTTGTCTGTGATTCCTCACGCCTCTGAGTCGATCTCAATCAATCCAAGGTTTATAACACGCCGGCATATTCGGCAGCTTCTGTTCCGAGAGCGAGCGACGACTACTACAACTGCTGCCGCCGCCGCCGCTGCTGCTGCGCAACGCGCTGCAAGTCGAGATCGTCGTCGTTACCGCTCTGAGTAAAGCCGCGTCCCGTGTTTGTTGTGTTTGTGGTGCCAGCAGCATACGGAGAGCCCTCACGCGTCACGTCCCGCTGATTTGTCGGACGAGGAGGTGACGGATATGTTCCAGCGCATCGCAGAGCTACAGCAGGAGAAGTGGAACTTGGAGGAGAAGGTAAAAAAACCTTAGCGTCTTCTTTTTTACATCCAAATGGACACATAGCAAACGAGAGAATTGTATGGAAGCTTTTTTTTTTTAAATGAAGAGGAATTCATTATCAAAGGAGCCTTGGAAAGCGCACACACACCTCACCGCGCTCGCCACACGCTCGGCAGATACCAGGCGCTGTCACTCGCCACACACTCGGCATACGCCAGACGCGAGACAATCCCACTCGCCGGAGCGACCACCCCTCCTCGCCTGACAGTCGCGCCCGCCACTCGCACGTGAATGGGATGGGGACGGCAAAACATCGCGTAACGTCCCGGCCGACTTGATGCTCTGCGTGTGAAGGTAAAACACCTGGAAGCCAACAGCTCCTCTATGGCTGAGGACATCTGCAAGAAGAACGCCATCATTGAGGCGTACGTCATGGAAAGTCGGATTGGTAATTATATTTGCATCGACATTCCCACCGACCCAACTTTACATTTTAACTTGTTGTTTGCGGCGTTAGCCACTGTGCCACCGTTCCTTCCCGTCGCTTTCTTTTGGACCGCGAATCTCGATTAAACGATCGCCTTTGTGGTGCATGTCCACGGAAATTTTCTTTTTTTTATCAAAGAATGTAAAAATCATCTTTCCTCGCCCGCATGGTCCGATGCGCGCATCGCGAGCGTTGGGAATTGTCGTTACTCGCCCATCAAGCCGCGTGTGTACGCAGCGTGAGCGGGTTCTTGTCGCTTGTTGTAGCCGTTGGCGGTTCGACTCCGGCAGGACTCCCCCCCGTCCCCCGTCCCCCCGCTCCGGTTAATACCGCGGATGTATTCACCGCGAATAAGCGCCGCCCGCTTCGTAACGAGCCGCTAAAGGTCACGTCACATCGTTTTTGCGGAAGGGTAGGCTGCGGTGTGTTGATGACATGGTCCAAATTTGGCAAGAAATATTTGTAATTGCTCGAAAATTTACTCTACTGGGAATCGCGTAGCAATCGTCGCTTGTTCCCCACGTCAGTACTGAGATGTTCTTTGGCCAATATCGGTCACATTGTGCGGTGGTTCATTTAGCGGTGGGAAGGAAAACCGGAGGAACTCGGAGGAAACCCACGCTGAAAAATCTAAATATAAATGATATATATTGACCTGCCGACGACTGGTACCAGCGGTACCAAGATCGGCTCGTGAAGGATGCTGCTGGGCAGTTGGAGGCAGTCGCCCTTCAGCAACAACCAGAGGGCAGAGGAGCAACGCTCACAACGAGTGTAGCGCCGGGCAGCTAAAATGCAGCAGGTTGGCACAGTAGGGGGGTACAGCTGGTGGTACATCTACCGGTCATCTCAGTCAGTCAACCCATGGCACCTGCTGGGTCTGCCCAGAGACCTCCTGTCAGCGAGCCTTGGACACTTCACGTGGCCTCAAAGTGCACCTGGCCTGGCGCAGTAGCCGTGGTGACGTTACCGTCACTTAGTGGCGAATGGCGGGTTATGGGTATTGGTATATAATCTTACGTGCAAGCACACCTGCCCATTTTTTTTGTTTACTACCTACTCTGAAGACACGACCGCGGCACACGCCCACGCCCACGCTGACCGGAGCAGCATCGGCAGCGTGTTCCGGGACCTCGTGAAGCCGGGGGACGACAGCGTGAGGGACATGAACAAAAAGCTGCAGCACATGCTGGAGGAGCAGCTCACCAAAAACATGTACCTCCAAAAGGTGAACGCCGTTGCATTTCGGTTTTTTTTTTGCCTTCGTCGCTCCGCGCGTGCCGCCCGCTGCCTCGTTATTTGCGAGGGGAGGGAGGGGTTAGTGGGGGTGACGCGTACCTGGTGATGCTCGCGAACAGCAGTTTTCGCGGATAGTGAGCTATTCATTTTCATGAATTACCTTAAATTAATCTTCATTAATTACCTTCAATAAATACATGGAAATGATCGTAACACAAGAAAGAAAAATTGGTTGTAATGAAGATAAAGTAAATACAGATGTATGAAAGTGCTAAATAAAAGTCTAACAAATGAAAGTTACCTTAATTTACGATGCTGCTGCTGCGCATGATCACCTCGTCATCGCTTTACACCACCGCCTTCTCGCGTTTACATTCTCATCACTTTATTATTTATCTCTCTCGGTGCAGCCATGTAGAGTGGGGACTTGAAGGACATTTACACTCGTGTTCGTATATATACTACGTACACACGTGTTCGTATATCCACGTACACGCGTGTTCGTAGCCACAACGTTATTATACAACCGTGCTAATCGTAGCCACTTGTGTTAGTCGCCGGAACACCGCACGCGCGTCTAAAATGTCGTCCAAGGCTGGTGACGCCTGCTGCGCTTGTCAACTTTCGTAACGCGCGTTTGCTTTTCCAGGCGCGGAACGTTGACGCGAATGTCTGTCCGTTCTTATATTTCACAGGACATGGAATTGCTATCTCAGGAGGTGGTGCGGCTAAGCAAGGGTTCCACCGTTAACAACGAGGCATCTTAAACTTTCCGCACAACTTACCAAAACTCGCATAAAACTTCAAGCTCGAATGAATGAGCGTGCGCTTAAGGTGGCGGGGGGGGGAGGGGGGGGGACCCAGTGCTAATCTCGGTAGACGTGATGGACACAGAGGCCAAAACGTACCGCTGGCCCTTGGCCTAAATATGCTTTCTCCAACTCTCAGAAGCTCACAGTCATATGTCCAATTGGTCCTCCCTAAGCATCCACTCGCACTGTATATCCAAGCCAAAAACCTCACTTTGGTAGCAAAGTCTCTCATCTCCTAGGCCCGCGACGGCGAATCCAGACGTAGACTCGACGCGCTCGCAAGTCTCCATCGCACAGTTACTTTGCTCGTGAAGAGAATAAGCTACGGGGGGGGGGGGGGGAGAGGGAGGGGGTAGGTAGAGAAAGGACTTGAAATGGCTTGAGAGAACTCGAAGGGCGTTGGGCGAACTTTATTGGGTCCAGGGGTGTTCGTAACTCGCCTACATTCCACAACGATGAGCAGGTTTGACTCTCGCGAACAAAAACCACCCCCCGTGCTGCGCCACGATTTGGACAGGAGGTCGTGAATATTGAATTGCAATTGTGTGTTACGACAGTCTCCCTCCGTCTGTGCGCCTGCGTGTGGGGTTGATGATATGCTGCTGTTAGAAGGGAAATAAAAAAGCCCCCCATCATGTCTGTACATACCATTGTTATTGTAAAAATACAATCCGTGCATCTCAAACGAAGGAGCGATAGTCGCGTGAACCAATCTTGGCAATGTTGCAAAAAAATAAAAAGCGTCGTTCCTCGCTGTCGCCGCGGTTACCGGCGACGCGTGGTCCGCTTGCTTCCGCTACGGTCCTTCGGTAATTAACGTTCGCTCCGGAAAGAACGCGAGAGAAATATATCACACGTGTCTCTCGAACGTCGTGTTTTAAGTCTATAAACGGTATCCTGTTGGTGCACTTCAGTACTCATTTTTTTTGTCACGAGTGTAAAACCGGTGTTGTATACCAAGGGGATTGGGTTTGGAATAAGATGTAATATACAAATGGGTTGTTTATTGTGTAAAGTATTGAAGAGATGTGGTTTAATTCCATCGCATTGTCTTTTACGGTCGGAAAATATTAATAAACATTTTCGAAACTGCACTGCGAGAGACTTCGAGAGAAATCAAGTTGCTTTGTACTCGACGCAGATACACCCGCGCACAAAATGCAAAGTCACACGTGCAGAGCAGCGTGTGGAAGTAGCGATGTGTAAATGCTATGTATGTCTGTTAAACTTGTTTGGCACCGCATGCTCATCGAATGCGCCGGGGGAAGGACAACAAGCTAAAACACAAAAAGCAGTTTTAAAGCGACGAGTTATTTTTTGAAAGGCAAGATAAACATGAAAGTAAAAAAAAGGGTCGTTTTTTTATCTTCATGCAAATCCCGAGGAAGACGATGCACATCCAAATCGCCACCCCCCCCCCCCCCCCTTGAACCACTCCCCTCCCCGGACCGCCCACTGTGAAGACAGACGCCGCTGCTTTTTGCAGCAGCATCGAGGCCCTTGTGCAGCCTCTTTCTCCTATCATCTTTCTCCTATCATCTTTCTCCTATCATCTTTCTCCTATCATCTTTCCTGACAACTTCGGTCCCATTTTTTCTGTCCCTTTCCCCACCCTCTTTCCCGATACACTACGTCGTGTCACGAGTTGACCAGCACGCACACAAACACACACGCACGCACAGACACATGCACACACACACGCACACATACGCACGCACACACACACACGCACGCACACACGTACTCACAGGACGCCAATTCTGTTCCGCTGCCTCGGGTGTGATGACGTCAAGACGCAACGATGGTGTCGTCACCGCCCCTGGCCCTGCTTGCCCCCCCCCCACCCAGCCAGATTCGGGTGTCTTGCGAATCGGATGTCGAGAACGGTTTGGTTCTTGAATGGCCCGTGAAATAAAATAAAAACAGACTGAGACTAAAAATGTCGTCATAATCAGCGTTTATTCTCATCACTCAACTTTGACGACGAACAAAACAACGAACGCGGTTTTTTACGGCATTTCCACCTTTGTAAAGTAAGATTTTCTTTGCTTCTGCAACATTAAAGCCCAGGCACCCGTACTGCCAGCACTTGAATGCGAGTTGTAATTGCTTGTAAACATTTTAATTCTAGTCCTGTTTTCCCAGATGGCTGGCTCTGGCCGTTGCCGTTTCCACGGCATTAATGATCGTGGATCGGAAGTTCCCCTTTTCCAGTTCGTGTATCCCGTATATTGTAGTTCCTCCAGGAGATGAGACGTCGTCCTTCAGCTGACTTGGATGCGCCTTGGTTTGCAAGAGCATTCTTGCAGCGCCCTGCAAAGAAAATCGTTGCAATTCGCACCACGGGGTCACGTCAGAAGCGGCGGCGGCGTCGTTCATGCGAAACGCATCGTCGCGACGCGCACACGAAGATGCTTTTGGCCGATCAACGACGAGCGGTTTAACGCACTGGGAGGAAATCGGAGCACCCGGAGGAAACCCACGCGTGCGAGGGGGCAACACGCTATCCCCGTACGGATAGGCCGGGTGATACAAGTCCACTTCCTGTACCGCCCTCTCCTGGCAAGCCAGGGGTACGGCGCACGCGCGAAGGGAGTTTTTCAACATCTGTGCGGTCATCCACCAACCAACCCTCGGTGCTGCTTCCGCAGTGCTGGGTGACGGGACTGCGTGGACAGCCACCACAGCCCAACTCTTATCATTGTATTATCTGAACCCATAATAAGCACCGTCGTGGAGAATATACGTAACAAGCCAATTCACCTGCACGTAGAAATACAAAATGGACACATCGCAATGGCCACACAGCTCTCCGGGGAATACAACATTTCAGCAGCATTGGTTCCACTCGAGCAAAGATCTGGACCGGTTTTCCACATTCGGTTGTCTGACCAGTAGAGTCAGACTTGCCTGTTGCAATGTTGGTGGACTGCCAAGAGGTTTATCGGCAAGGACCCCTCTGTATTAAATGTGGACTCCGGTCCGTACCGTACATTACGTATGTTGAACTTTCGCACCGTACGTAGCCAGCCGCGCCAATCGGAGGTGCGGGGGAAGGACAACAAACTAAACACACAAAAAAACAGTTCTCGAGAAATACATTTTCAATTTAGATTTCAAAGCTAATAGCTCCAGTGGCTTCCCAAAGTCGGAAGGAAGAGCGTTCCAGACGGCCGCAGAAGCGCATCTGAAAGCGCCGCGATGCGGTGACCGCCTTTGTTCGATGGTCAGCCCAGAATACCGCTGCGAGAATGACTGGAGTTTGCAAAACCTCTCGACACAAACTAACCATTCGCGTCGTTTTGGAGAATATATGTAACACAATGAGATAGACGATACGCCTCCTTTCCATAATTGTCTCCCCACTTAAAAAAATTGAAATCACAAATCCCATCAGCCACGGGGCCTTGTGGGAGTTATTTTGTCCAGCTGATACTGGTGGTGGTGCTGCTGCTGCTGACGATGATGAGCGTCCGTTTGACGAGCGTACATCTTTCATCATCGTCGCCGTCATCATCATCATCACGATCCGTGGTCAGATAGCCCCTAGGTGGTGTCCACTGCGCGTTCCGTCATTCGTTGTTTCCACTTCCCTCTGCCTTGTAGTGCCAATATACTCAAGTCGTGGCCACATCTTTCTGGCACCGACCTCTGACGATGTCGTCGTCGTCGTCGTCGTCGTCGTCGTCGTCGTCGTCATCGTCGTCGTCAATCCATTCTCCGTTAGGCCTTCTCTCTTCCCCCCCCCCGAACAACAACAACAACAACAACGCGCGTTTACAACTTTCCCGTCACTGTCCACCCTACACACATCCCAAGCTGTACTTTGATGACCCTCTCTCCACGCGCTGCAGAAATCACCGCCGCCGCCACCGCCGGCGGTGATCGATAACGATTGGCGACAAGAGCACGCCGCCGTGGGACTTGCCAGCAAAGTTTGGGCCGCGATGTCGCCAGCCACCGCCCTCGTCATCCCCATCTTCACGGCTCCATCCGCCAACGCCTCCGCAAACATGTACGCCTGGCGCGCGCGGGAGCCCCAACGCAGACGCGGTTATCGTCTTGCGGTGAGACAACGCCATCAGTGACTCTGGTAGTGAACGTAGGTGATGGAGGTGTGATTATCGATAACTCTGGTAGTGAACGTAGGTGATGGAGGTGTGATTATCGATGACTCTGGTAGTGAACGTAGGTGATGGAGGTGTGATTATCAATAACTCTGGTAGTGAACGTAGGTGATGGAGGTGTGATTATCAATAACTCTGGTAGTGAACGTAGGTGATGGAGGTGTGATTATTGATGACTCTGGTAGTGAACGTAGGTGATAGAGGTGTGATTATCAATGACTCTGGTAGTGAACGTAGGTGATGGAGGTGTGATTATCAATGTCTCTGGTAGTGAACGTAGGTGATGGAGGTGTGATTATCAATAACTCTGGTAGTGAACGTAGGTGATGGAGGTGTGATTATTGATGACTGTGGTAGTGAACTTAGGTGATGGAGGTGTGATTATCGATGACTCTGGTAGTGAACGTAGGTGATGGAGGTGTGATTATCGATGACTCTGGTAGTGAACGTAGGTGATGGAGGTGTGATTATCAATAACTCTGGTAGTGAACGTAGGTGATGGAGGTGTGATTATCAATGTCTCTGGTAGTGAACGTAGGTGATGGAGGTGTGATTATCAATGTCTCTGGTAGTGAACGTAGGTGATGGAGGTGTGATTATCAATGTCTCTGGTAGTGAACGTAGGTGATGGAGGTGTAATTATCAATGTCTCTGGTAGTGAACGTAGGTGATGGAGGTGTGATTATCAATGTCTCTGGTAGTGAACGTAGGTGATGGAGGTGTGATTATCGATGACTCTGGTAGTGAACGTAGGTGATGGAGGTGTGATTATCGATGTCTCTGGTAGTGAACGTAGATGATGGAGGTGTGATTATCAATAACTCTGGTAGTGAACGTAGGTGATGGAGGTGTGATTATCAATGTCTCTCGTAGTGAACGTAGGTGATGGAGGTGTGATTATCGCTGACTCTGGTAGTGAATGTAGGTGATGGAGGTGTAATTATCAATGTCTCTGGTAGTGAACGTAGGTGATGGAGGTGTGATTATCAATGTCTCTGGTAGTGAACGTAGGTGATGGAGGTGTGATTATCAGTAACTCTGGTAGTGAACGTAGGTGATGGAGGTGTAATTATCAATGTCTCTGGTAGTGAACGTAGGTGATGGAGGTGTGATTATCAATGTCTCTGGTAGTGAACGTAGGTGATGGAGGTGTGATTATCGATGACTCTGGTAGTGAACGTAGGTGATGGAGGTGTGATCATCAATAACTCTGGTAGTGAACGTAGCTGATGGAGGTGTGATTATCGATGTCTCTGGTAGTGAACGTAGATGATGGAGGTGTGATTATCAATGACTCTGGTAGTGAACGTAGGTGATGGAGGTGTGATTATCAATGACTCTGGTAGTGAATGTAGGTGATGGAGGTGTGATTATCAATAACTCTGGTAGTGAACGTAGGTGATGGAGGTGTGATTATCAATAACTCTGGTAGTGAACGTAGGTGATGGAGGTGTGATTATCGATGACTCTGGTAGTGAACGTAGGTGATGGAGGTGTGATTATCGATGACTCTGGTAGTGAACGTAGGTGATGGAGGTGTGATTATCAATGTCTCTGGTAGTGAACGTGGGTGATGGAGGTGTGATTATCAATAACTCTGGTAGTGAACGTAGGTGATGGAGGTGTGATTATCAATAACTCTGGTAGTGAACGTAGACGATGGAGGTGTGATTATCAATAACTCTGGTAGTGAATGTAGGTGATGGAGGTGTGATTATCGATGACTCTGGTAGTGAACGTAGCTGATGGAGGTGTGATTATCAATAACTCTGGTAGTGAACGTAGGTGATGGAGGTGTGATTATCGATGACTCTGGTAGTGAACGTAGGTGATGGAGGTGTGATTATCGATGACTGATAGTGAACGTAGATGATGGAGGTGTGATTATCAATGACTCTGGTAGTGAACGTAGGTTATGGAGGTGTGATTATCGATGTCTCTGGTAGTGAACGTAGATGATGGAGGTGTGATTATCAATGACTCTAGTAGTGAACGTAGGTGATGGAGGTGTGATTATCGATGACTCTGGTAGTGAACGTAGGTGATGGAGGTGTGATTATCGATGATTCTGATAGTGAACGTAGGTGATGGAGGTGTGATTATTGATGACTCTGGTAGTGAACGTAGGTGATGGAGGTGTGATTATCAATAACTCTGGTAGTGAACGTAGGTGATGGAGGTGTGATTATCAATAACTCTGGTAGTGAACGTAGACGATGGAGGTGTGATTATCAATGACTCTAGTAGTGAACGTAGGCGATGGAGGTGTGACTATCGATGACTCCGGTGTTGGAACGCGACTTACATAGGCAATGCCGCTCCCACTCATTCCCGTGTGGATGTCGATGTAGGGCTCGGGAACTTCGAGGCACATGCCGCAGTGCGACAGCAGCTCCTGCAGGAGCAGCGCCTCCTCCGGCGTCGTGCTGCGCCCGCGGGCAAACACCATAGCGCCCTCTCCCACCTGGCACGCCGTGTTGGGCATCAGCCGCACCACGTGCGCGCCTACGGGCAGCGCCTGCGGCGGATGAAGAGAGAGGAGTTGAGCGACGATTTACAACCCGGGTTTGCGCTCCAACACGCCGGTGGTGCTGGTAACGAATCGGCACGTTCTGTTCACGTGACAAGCCTTACCGGTTGGCTGCGTTGAGCCGTGGCGGGTTTAGCGGCGCCGTCTAACACAAAAAAAACCTCTACGATGGACAATATAGTTTCACCTTTTCCAAGGTTGCAATCGTGATGCCAGCCGCGATGGAAACGATGAGGTGGTCTCCCGTCACCTCTCCCCGAATGCCAGCCAACGCCGCCTTGACGACAGGCGGCTTCGTGGCGATGAAGACAACCTTGCAGGCCTGGACCACCTCCCTATTGTCTCTTGTTGTCCTCATTCCAGCCTCCTGGAAAATGTGGGAGGGGAGGGGGCATAACAAACCCTCGAGTCATTTAACACAGTCTCATTATAATAATTATAGAGTCATTTAACAGTCTCATTATAATAATTATCTAGTAATTTAACACAGTCTCATTATAATAATTATAGAGTCATTTAACATAGTCTGATTATAATAATTATCTAGTCATTTAACACAGTCTCATTATAATAATTATAGAGACATTTAACACAGTCTGATTATAATAATTAACGTGTCATTTAACACAGTCTCATTATAATAATTATCTAGTCCTTTAACACAGTCTGATTATAATAATTATAGAGACATTTAACACAGTCTGATTATAATAATTATAGAGACATTTAACACAGTCTGATTATAATAATTATAGACATTTAACACAGTCTCATTATAATGATTATAGAGTCATTTAACACAGTCTGCTTATAATAATTATAGAGTCATTTAACACAGTCTGATTATAATAATTATAGAGACATTTAACACATTCTGATTATAATAATTATCTAGTAATTTAACACAGTCTGATTATAATAATTATCTAGACATTTAACACAGTCTGATTATAATAATTATAGTCATTTAACACAGTCTTATTATAATAATTATAGAGTCATTTAACAAAGTCTGATTATAATAATTATAGAGACATTTAACACAGTCTGATTATAATAATTATATAGTCATTTAACACAGTCTGATTATAATAATTATAGAGTCATTTAACACAGTCTGATTATAATAATTAACGAGTTATTTAACACAGTCTCATTATAATAATTATAGAGACATTTAACACAGTCTGATTATAATAATTATCTAGTAATTTAACACAGTCTGATTATAATAATTATCTAGTAATTTAACACAGTCTGATTATAATAATTATCTAGTAATTTAACACAGTCTGATTATAATAATTATAGAGACATTTAACACAGTCTGATTATAATAATTATAGAGACATTTAACACAGTCTGATTATAATAATTATAGAGACATTTAACACAGTCTGATTATAATAATTATCTAGTTATTTAACACAGTCTGATTATAATAAATATCTCGTCATTTAACACAGTCTGATTATAATAATTATCTAGTAATTTAACACAGTCTGATTATAATAATTATCTAGTAATTTAACACAGTCTGATTATAATAATTATCTAGTAATTTAACACAGTCTGATTATAATAATTATAGAGACATTTAACACAGTCTGATTATAATAATTATAGAGACATTTAACACAGTCTGATTATAATAATTATAGAGACATTTAACACAGTCTGATTATAATAATTATCTAGTTATTTAACACAGTCTGATTATAATAAATATCTCGTCATTTAACACAGTCTGATTATAATAATTAACGAGTTATTTAACACAGTCTCATTATAATAATTATCTAGTCATTTAACACAGTCTGATTATAATAATTATAGTCATTTAACACAGTCTGATTATAATAATTATAGAGACATTTAACACAGTCTGATTATAATAAATATCTAGTCATTTAACACAGTCTGATTATAATAATTAACGAGTTATTTAACACAGTCTGATTATAATAATTATAGAGACATTTAACACAGTCTGATTATAATAATTATCTAGTAATTTAACACAGTCTCATTATTATAATTAACGAGTTATTTAACACAGTCTGATTATAATAATTAACGAGTTATTTAACACAGTCTGATTATAATAATTATCTAGTAATTTAACACAGTCTGATTATTATAATTAACGAGTTATTTAACACAGTCTGATTATAATAAATAACGAGTTATTTAACACAGTCTGATTATAATAATTAACGAGTTATTTAACACAGTCTGATTATAATAATTATCTAGTTATTTAACACAGTCTGATTATAATAATTATCTAGTCATTTAACACAGTCTGATTATAATAATTATAGAGTCATTTAACACAGTCTGATTATAATAATTATAGAGTCATTTAACACAGTCTGATTATAATAATTATAGAGTCATTTAACACAGTCTGATTATAATAATTATCTAGTAATTTAACACAGTCTCATTATAATAATTATCTAGTAATTTAACACAGTCTGATTATAATAATTATCTAGTTATTTAACACAGTCTGATTATTATAATTAACGAGTTATTTAACACAGTCTGATTATAATAATTAACGAGTTATTTAACACAGTCTCATTATAATAATTAACGAGTAATTTAACACAGTCTCATTATAATAATTATCTAGTAATTTAACACAGTCTGATTATTATAATTAACGAGTTATTTAACACAGTCTGATTATAATAATTATCTAGTAATTTAACACAGTCTGATTATAATAAATAACGAGTTATTTAACACAGTCTGATTATAATAATTATCTAGTAATTTAACACAGTCTGATTATTATAATTAACGAGTTATTTAACACAGTCTGATTATAATAATTATCTAGTCATTTAACACAGTCTGATTATAATAAATAACGAGTTATTTAACACAGTCTGATTATAATAATTATCTAGTCATTTAACACAGTCTGATTATAATAATTATAGTCATTTAACACAGTCTGATTATAATAATTATCTAGTAATTTAACACAGTCTGATTATAATAAATAACGAGTTATTTAACACAGTCTGATTATAATAATTATCTAGTCATTTAACACAGTCTGATTATAATAATTATCTAGTAATTTAACACAGTCTGATTATAATAATTATCTAGTTATTTAACACAGTCTCATTATAATAATTATCTAGTAATTTAACACAGTCTCATTATTATAATTAACGAGTTATTTAACACAGTCTGATTATAATAAATATCTAGTAATTTAACACAGTCTGATTATAATAATTATAGAGTCATTTAACACAGTCTGATTATAATAATTATAGAGTCATTTAACACAGTCTCATTATTATAATTATCTAGTAATTTAACACAGTCTGATTATAATAATTATAGAGACATTTAACACAGTCTCATTATAATAATTATCTAGTTATTTAACACAGTCTCATTATAATAATTATAGAGACATTTAACACAGTCTCATTATAATAATTATCTAGTTATTTAACACAGTCTCATTATAATAATTATCTAGTAATTTAACACAGTCTCATTATAATAATTAACGAGTTATTTAACACAGTCTCATTATAATAATTATCTAGTAATTTAACACAGTCTGATTATTATAATAATTATCTAGTCATTTAACACAGTCTGATTATAATAATTAACGATCACAGCTGGCAGAGCACAGGGCCTCAAGGGTCCCAAAATGGCCTAAAGGATCAGAAACAACCAGGAGCAAGTGGCGCTCCGGTCGACGCCGTCAAGGGTGAGGGTGTAACTCGTCTGTTGAGCTGCTTTGGGGGGGGGGGAGGTGATTTGTTTGAAGGGCTTTGGGAAAAGGAGACTTAAGGGAGGGGATTGCAAAGTAGTGGAGCGGTGTGAGGGAAGAGCACAAAGAGAAGTGGGGTGGCCCTGCAGTGGGGTGAGTGGGTGAGTGAGTGGGTGGGTGAGTGGGTGAGTGAGTGGGTGGGTGAGTGGGTGGGTGAGTGAGTGGGCGAGTGAGTGGGCGAGTGGGTGGGCGAGTGGGTGAGCGAGTGGGTGAGCGGGTGAGTGAGTGGGTGAGTGGATGGGTGAGTGAGTGAGTGGGTGAGTGGGTGGGTGAGTGAGTGAGTGGGTGAGTGAGTGGGTGAGTGGGTGGGTGCATGGGTGAGTGAGTGGGTGAGTGAGTGGGTGCATGGGTGAGCGAGTGGGTAAGCGAGTGGGTGGATGATTGTGTAAGTGAGTGGGTTAGCTAGTGGATGGGTGAGTGAGTTGGTGATTGAGTGAGTGAATGGGTGGATGATTGGGTAAGTGAATGGGTTAGCTAGTGGGTGGGTGAGTGAGTGGGTGATTGGGTGAGTGGATGGGTGGGTGATTGAGTAAGTGAATGGGTTAGCTAGTGCATGGGTGAGTGAGTGGGTGAGTGGATGGGTGGGTGATTGGGTAAGTGAATGGGTTAGCTAGTGGGTGGGTGAGTGAGTGGGTGAATGGATGGGTGATTGGGTGAGTGGATGGGTGGCTGATTGGGTAAGTGAATGGGTTAGCTAGTGGGTGGGTGAGTGAGTTGGTGATTGGGTGAGTGGATGGGTGGGTGATTAGGTAAGTGAATGGGTTAGCTAGTGCATGGATGAGTGAGTGGGTGAGTGGATGGGTGGGTGATTGGGTAAGTGAATGGGTTAGCTAGTGGGTGGGTGAGTGAGTGGGTGAATGGATGGGTGATTGGGTGAGTGGATGGGTGGGTGATTGGGTAAGTGAATGGGTTAGCTAGTGGGTGGGTGATTGGGTGAGTGGATGGGTGGGTGATTGGGAAAGTGAATGGGTTAGCTAGTGGGTGGGTGAGTGAGTGAGTGAGTGAATGGATGGGTGATTGGGTGAGTGGATAGATGGGTGATTGGGTGAGTGGGTGGGTGGGTGATTGGGTAAGTGAGCAGGCTAGAGAGTGGGTGGGGGAGTGAATGATTAAGTGGGTGAGTGGGCGAGTGGGCAAGTGAGTAAGCTAGTTGGTGGGTGGGTGAGTGGGTGGGTAAGTGAGTGGGTGGTTGGATAAGTGAGTGAGTGGGTGGGTAAGTGGGTGGGTGGGTAAGTGAGTGGGTGGGTGGGTGATTGGGTGAGTAGGCTATTTAGTGGAAAGGTGAATGAATGTTGTTATGACCTACAGTGTGGTGAGTGGGTGAGTGGGTGAATGAGTGTATTTCCACAGCACTAGCTTAAATGCTTCAACGGCTCACAGCGACTTGCATCAAAGTTCATGCGGGCACACACTGCAGTCAAAAACCGAATCCAGATATTACATGAAATTTTAAACTCTGAAAACCTAGAAAAAAATGTATTTGGATCCTCCATCTTTGAGGGATCAAAGTATTAGAACTTAAATGTTTAACCTCACTCAACAAAAGTTTGCATCTGGAGGTGTTTAAGGGTTCTGAATCAAAATATGACATCAGTTTTACATATATACACTGTACGTTTAAATGACCAATTTTGATTCCCTCCGAACTCACGGCGCTAAAGAGTGTGTTTTTTTACTTTTTCTTTACAATGCGAGGCCCTCTGAAGGTTTACACCGGAATGTTTCCAAGGACATCATATCTTCGATCGCCAATTATTTCGGTAGGCCTTTTTGGAAGAGTTGCGACACACACAAGAAACAATGCCATCGGTAAATTTAACACGCAGGGGGCTTTCATGACCAATATTCATAAGAGCTTTTGTTTTTTTGGGTTAGATCGCTTGAATATAAATGTTGTGTCGTTAAACCCGCCACCACCCGACACAGCCAACTAGTAAGGTGTGTCACGTAAACAGAACGTGGCCGATTCGTCGCTAGTACAGCACACCGGTTGTGTGTTGGAGAGTAAACCCACGACAACATTCACAATTCGAGTACCGCGACATTTCGCCAGCAATTACAACCGGCGTCATCAGGCGACAGCCAGAGTTGTGGAGAAATCCTCCTCCCGTCTCCGTCTTAAAGCCTCCTGCTTCGGTCCGTCGGCAGGCTCGGCGCGTCCCGGCTACGCCGCGCGACGGCGCACGTACCGTGAAGAGTCCCGCGGAGCGGTCGGTCGGAGCACTCGCCACGATGCGGTCAGGTTTCACAATTCCTGAAGAGGGGGAAGGAGGAGGAGGAGGGGGGAGGAGGGGGGAGGAGGGGGGAGGAGGGGAGAGGAGGGGGGAGGAGGGGAGAGGAGGGGGGAGGAGGGATGAGGGGGGAGGAGGAGGGAGGAGGAGGGAGGAGGATGGAGGAGGAGGGAGGAGGAGGGAGGAGGAGGGAGGAGGAGGAGGGAGGAGGATGGAGGAGGAGGGAGGAGGAGGAGGAGACCCGAGATTGAGAGCCGTCACAAAATCGTGCCCCCCGGTCACAGGAGCCTGCCCCCCCCCCCGGGTGAAGGGTTCAACACGTTCCAACCTGCTTGCCTAAGGTGACAGCTGAGAAGGACGGAGTTCATCATCAAGCCGCGCCCTCGGACCAAAAACTAAATAAATGGGCGGCATCGGCAACGTTTGTGTTTTTATTTTACACCGGAGGTGGGGCTCACGGCTTGTCACCGGCCCGCCGAGCCGCCGTGCACTGCTCCAGCCCCCTCCCCCCCCCCCCCCCCCCCCCGAGCACTCCCCTCTGCCGCGCCAGTCGGTGTACAGTTATCGATATGCAGCTCAAGCCTCCCGTAAACCACGTGACCTCCGTGTTGCCCACTCTGAACCCATGAACCCCTCCCCTCTCCCCGCCCGCTGTGAAAACACACTCCAGCTCCTCCAACTCCGTGCGGATCTCTTCTGCTTGCTGCTTCCTTCTCTGCCTCTCTCTCCATCCCCTCTAATCATCATCATCGCCATCACCCTCTCATCATCACCCTATCATAATCACCCCCCTCTCACCATCATCACCCCCCTCTCATCATCATCACCCTATCATAATCACCCCCCTCTCACCATCAACACCACCCTCTCATCATCACCCCCCTCTCATCATCATCACCCTATCATAATCACCCCCCTCTCATCATCATCACCCCCCTCTCATCATCATCACCCTATCATAATCACCCCCCTCTCACCATCATCATCACCCTCTCATCATCATCACCCTATCATAATCACCCACCTCTCATCATCATCACCCCCCTCTCATCATCATCACCCCCCTCTCATCATCTTCTCATCACCCTCTGATCATCGCCATCACCCTCTCATCATGATCACCCTCTCATCATCATCATCACCCCCCTCTCATCATCATCCTCTCATCATTGCCCAGACATTCCTTCCCTCCCCTCCTCCTCCTCTCTTCCTGTTGCTCATCTTGAGCCGTGTACCTCCTCTCGTCGTGGGGACTTCCGTCCCTGCATGCCTGCCTCCCTCTCCGTCCCTCTCTCTTTCTCCATCCGTTACATCCTTGACTCTTCTTCCCTTACCGTGATGCGGTGCCACCGGTAAACCACGTTATTTGAATTGAAATCGAACATATCAGACGGTGTACGCACGCACGCCGAACTTCTATCGCACCGTGCGTAGCCAACCGTGCCAATCGGAGCCACCAAAGTCAAAACTACTGGATGAGAAAATGTCAGTTCATCCCGAACTACGTTCACCATGGAGGCACTCCGCTGCTTTCGAGCCCTCCGTCAATATCCGAACGCGAAGGGCCGCGTGGACACCGCAGCGCGCGTACATCCTGATCACACACTCGCATTTGAATCTCAAGCAGCTCCGCACACCCACCATTACGAACGAGGACCTTTGCGGGGAGAAGCGCGAGAGCACACACACACACACGCACACACCTCGCTTTAAAATCCCTTTCGCCAGGCAAATTGCCATTTTCCCAGCACCGATGAAGCCGACCGTGAGGTCTGCGGAATGAATATTCGCCGTCGTCGCCGCCGCCGCCGCCGCCGTCGTTGTCGGCACTGGCGCCGGCTCGTCGCAGCCTTCCTCGTTCATTTTGTAGACGAGAAGTCACCTGCGACGATAACACACACGGTTGGAGCGTGAATGTGTCACGGTTCTTGATGAGCCATACAAAGGCTTATAGAAGAAAAATAACCTCAGGTTTATCTTCAGAAGTAGTCAGTTTAACGCGCAGGCTTTCAGGACCAATGTCATCTATAATATAGGTTTTTTTTGGGGGGGTAGATATCACATTTATCCCTCTATTTAAGGTACGAAACAGGAGGATTTCTCCACAAATCTGGCTGTCGCCTGATGATGCCGGTTGTAATCACTGGCGAAACGTCGTACTCAGTTTGTAAATGCTGTGGGTTTGCTCTCCAACACACCGGTGTGCTGTACTAGTGACAAATTGGCACGTTCTGTTTACGTGACAAACCTTACTAGTTGGCTGTGTCGGGTGGTGGCGGGTTTAACGACACATTTATATTGACGCGATCTAACCCCAAAAAACCTGTACAGTATTATAGTTTAGAAGTAATATTTACACCTTCATAGGTGCTCATTAATAGCAGTCTGATTAAGTATTCATCACCTATGTGGATTAACCCAAAGCCGCAGAGGGAGGCTAAACGGGTGCGGTACGGGCACGGGAATTGTTTGGGGCTGATGCGGTCGGGGAAGATGTGGAGCTGGGTGGACTTTGCCAATGACCCCGGCAACCAGCGGTGTCAAGATCACCCTCTGTGGAGGACAAGGCTTGTGAAGGAGTTGGAGGCAGTCGCCCTCCAACAGCACTCACACAGGGAGACACACACAGGGAGACAACAACAACCGCCATTCGCCACTAAGTGGCGGTGACGTCACCACGACGCTTGTGCCAGGCCATGTGCACCTTGAGGCCACGTGAAGTGTCGAACGCCCGCTGGCAGGAGATCACGGGGCAGACCCAGTGCCACAGGTCGACTGACTGAGATGACTGGCTGATGCACCACCTGTGCCAACCTACTGTGCCAACCTGCTGTGCTTTAGCCACCCGGCGCTCCGCTCGTTGTTCTGAGCGTCGCTCCTCCGCCCTCCGTTGTTGTTGGAGGGCGACTGCCTCCAACTGCCCAGTAGCATCCTTCACGAGCCTCCTCCACAGAGGCCGATCTTGACACCGCTGGTACCAGTCATCAGCAAGTCCACTCAGCTCCACGTCCTCCTGTACCACATCACTCCATCTCTTCTCTAGCCCCGTGCCTCCTGTACCACATCACTCCATCTCTTCTCTAGCCCGTGCCTCCTGTACCACATCACTCCATCTCTTCTCTAGCCCGTGCCGCGCCCGCTTAGCCCCCTCAATCCGGCCGAACAAAAGCTGTTTCGGCATGCGGTGGCTGGGCATGCGGGCTACATGACCCAGCCATCGCAGCCTTGCCCGCCGGAGGAGCTCACCGATGGGACCTTGCCCAGATCTTTCAAGGATTTGTGAGCTCCTCGCACAATCCAGTCTGGTTAAACCCAGGATGGATCGTAGGCAGGCCAGCCTAAATGTTTCTAACCGGCGAAGATGTTCCATTAGGGGGGTCCCCGTTTCGCAAGCGTAGAGAAGGGAGGAAATGACCGTGGCCGAGAAGACCTGAAGCTTAGTGCGGAGCGACAGACCAGGTAGCTTCCACACAGCGTTACGCAACCGATGAAAAGATATTGCCGCTCGACTGATTCGGAGTGAGACCTCTGCTGTTAAACTGGAGCCGGTCACAAGCACACTGCCCAGGTATGGGAAACTCTCCACTCTCTCCACAGATGCCCCATCACCGATTGGGAGTTGTGGGGGTGTAGTGTCCGATGGTACAAAATACCCAGCCAGGTGCTTAGTTTTGGTGGAGCTGATGGTAAGGCCCCACCTCTTAGTGGCACGCTCCAGTCTCAGCAGCAGCGTCTCCAACTCCTCCTCTGACTGAGCAGCTATTACCAAATCATCAGCATACATAACGTGGTTGAGCAATAGGGAGCCATCCCTTGACCGCACCCGGGCATCGATTAGCCTCCCATTATATCTGTACCATATGGAGATTCCCCCGGTACAGCTATTGAAGGCTTCACGAACTACGTGGTCAAAATAGATGTTACATAATGTGGGAGCCAGAGGACATCCCTGTCGCACCCCAAGGTGTACAGGGAATGGCTCTGACTCCCGGCCACGTAGTTTTACCCGGGCCCGCTCACACACAGACACACACAGACAGACACACACACACAGACACACACACAGACAGACAGACACACACACAGACACACACACACACACAGAGACACACAGACACACACACACAGACACACACACAGACACACACACAGACACACACACACAGACACACACACATAGACACACACATAGACACACACAGACACACACACACATAGACACACACAGACACACAGACACACACACACATAGACACACAGACACACACACAGACACACACACACACATAGACACACACCCAGACACACATAGACACACACACACATAGACACACACACATAGACACACACACACACACACATAGACACACACAGACAGACACACACACAGACACACAGACAGACAACACACACATAGACACACACAGACACACACATAGACACACATATAGACACACACACAGACAGACACACACACACAGACACACATAGACACACACACACAGACACACACACACACATAGACACACACACAGACACACACACATAGACACACACACATAGACACACAGACACACACACATAGACACACACAGACACACAGACACACACACAGACACACACACACAGACACACACACACACATAGACACACACACACATAGACACACACACAGACACACAGACACACACACACAGACACACACATAGACACACACACAGACACACACATAGACACACACACAGACACAACACACACACATAGACACACAGTGACACACACACACACAGACACACACAGACACACACACACACATAGACACACACACACATAGACACACACAGACACACACATAGACACACACAGACACACACATAGACACACACACAGACACACACACAGACACACACACAGACACACACATAGACACACACATAGACACACACACATAGACACACACACACAGACACACACATAGACACACACATAGACACACACACATAGACACACACACAGACACACACACAGACAGACACACACACACAGACACACACATAGACACACACACATAGACACACACATAGACACACACATAGACACACACACATAGACACACACACATAGACACACACACATAGACACACACACATAGACACACACACATAGACACACACACACATAGACACACACACAGACACACACACACATAGACAGCCGCTACCCACCCGTGCCGAGGCTTTCTGGTTCCTCCGGGGCTGCCCACGCTGGCAGCTCCACCCATCAGTGTCGTCATCGCCCACGTGACGACGATGATGGGTGGCGCGCACTCACCATTAGTGCACTCACCACTACACTCACCACTAGTACACTTACCACTAGTACACTCGCCACTAGTCTACCACTCACCACTAGTACTACATACACTCACCACTACCCTCACACACACACCACCACTACACTCACCACTACACTCGCCACTAGTGCACTCGCCACTAGTACACTCACCACCACTACACTCACCACTAGTGCACTCACCACTAGTACACTCGCCACTACACTCACCACTAGTACACTCAGCACTACACTCACCACTAGTGCACTCGCCACTAGTGCACTCGCCACTAGTACACTCACCACTAGTACACTCACCACTACACTCACCACTAGTGCACTCACCACTAGTACACTCACCACTAGTACACTCACCACTAGTGCACTCACCACTAGTACACTCACCACTAGTACACTCAGCACTACACTCACCACTAGTACACTCGCCACTACACTCACCACTAGTGCACTCACCACTACACTCACCACTCGTGCACTCACCACTAGTGCACTCGCCACTAGCACACTCACCACTAGTACACTCACCACTAGTACACTCGCCACTAGTACACTCGCCACTAGTACACTCACCACTAGTACACTCACCACTACGCTCACCACTAGTACACTTACCACTACACTCACCACTCGTACACTCACCACGACACTCACCACTATTGCACTCGCCACTACACTCACCACTAGTACACTCGCCACTAACTCACCACTATACTCACCACTACTACACTCACCACTAGTACACTCACCACTAGTACACTCGCCACTACACTCACCACTAGTACACTCACCACTACACTCACCACTAGTACACTCGCCACTACACTCACCACTCGTGCACTCACCACTAGTGCACTCGCCACTAGCACACTCACCACTAGTACACTCACCACTACACTCACCACTAGTACACTCACCACTAGCACACTCACCACTACACTCACCACTAGAGTATACTCGCCACTAGTACACTCACCACTAGTACAGTCACCACTACACTCGCCACTAGAGTACACTCGCCACTAGTACACTCACCACTAGTACACTCATCACTACACTCACCACTGCACTCACCACTAGTACACTCACCACTAATGCACTCACCACTACACTCGCCACTACACTCACCACTACACTCACCACTAGTGCACTCACCACTACACTCACCACTAGTACACTCACCACTAGTACACTCACCACTAGTACACTCACCACTAGTACACTCACCACTAGTACACTCACCACTAGTACACTCACCACTACACTCACCACTAGTACACTCGCCACTCGTACACTCGCCACTAGTACACTCACCACTAGTACACTCGCCACTAGTACTCATCACTACACTCACCACTAGTACCACTAGTACACTCATCACTACACTTACCACTAGTACACTCGCCACTAGTACACTCACCACTAGTACACTCATCACTAGTACATTCATCACTACACTTACCACTAGTACACTCATCACTAGTACACTCACCACTAGTACACTCATCACTACACTTACCACTAGTACACTCGCCACTAGTACACTCACCACTACACTCACCACTAGTACACTTACCACTAGTACACTCACCACTACACTCACCACTAGTACACTCACCACTAGTACACTTACCACTAGTACACTCACCACTAGTACACTCACCACTACAAACCTGACAACCCCTTATCAGTGCCCTACCTTATTACAGACCAACTCAGACCTTATTGGTCACCCCGTGCCTCTTACAAATCTCAACGTTCATCCTACAAAGTCCCATCACAAGGGAGAAACACAATCACCACTACTACACTCACCACTAGTTTTTGTACTGTTTGTTGTTGTCACGTTCTTACCCCGTGCCTCTTCTGGACATCTGTGAATAAGAGCTTTATTGCTTATCGGATTCTTCCAGTATAAATATATTGATTCTGAAATCCCACCGGCCAATCTGGGGCAATTTCAATTGCCCCAGATTCGGCTCCGACAAATGGAATCGTCTTTATTGTTGGTAAACAATATAAAAAATATAACCCCGCAAACAAATATCATGCCGTATCTTAAAATTTTAAAGTTAAGGGTCACCAAGTTCGCTGCCTACTGTGAGCTTAAAAAAATAACAATTTATTTCATCCCGCAAATCCTGAAGCTCACTCACACATCTATAGTCATTATTCCGAGTTTCTTAGCTTAATGGGCTTTACTCGGGAAATACTGTACACTTGATTCTGTGGACCCCTTATAACATCCTCTCGACCTTGGTATCTCTCGGCTGGCTGCCAGATGATTGGCAACCAGCAGCTAGGCTGGAAATCCCGCCCCTTTTCACCAGCCCATATTTGCAGGCTTTGGTCTGAAAGGCATCAACAAAAATAAAGTTCTCAATGTAATCAAACCTCGCCACATGCAGTTAAGAGAGAAACGGATCAACCAGCGAACGATGGAACTCCAGGATGAGCAATTGGATCCACCTGCAGGGAAGTCCTTGGACTTCGCAGCCATCAGCCTCGGAGTGATCGTGCTTAGAAGCAGTCAGTTGAGATCACGCATGTCTCCCTGCGGACGCAAGAAGTTGCGTTGGCCGGCTCTCCGACCGCTGGATAGCGCTTTCATTTACAACGCCGACATCCACAACTCCCAAAGATGCAAGACGAGCAGGCTGACCAGCCCATCGCTAAGACCCGTGAGACGGAATCGACTGTGGGAAAGGATGCCCGGGAAAAAACCAAGGTAGCGCAGGATGATGGGAAGAACCGCTTCCCCCACGCGCGCTGCGTTGGATTCATCGCTCGGCGCCGAGAGCCACGTACAATCGCAAGCTTTGAACCCCCCGCACGCACCACTATCGTGCGGGGAAAATAGCACCAACTCTGCATCATCGTCGTAGCGACGGTGGGACATTGCATGCCGGCGTCAATGTCCACATTATCAAAGTGCAAAAACGATCCGCAACGTGCTACATTCGAATTACGTCGCAATCGTCAACCCCTCCTGGCAGACGAATGCCCCTGGTCACCCTTGCAAACGACACTATCCTCAACTCTGGCGTTCCCATCTGGATAAACTCAACGTTAAAGGAAAATATTGGACATGCTGTCCGCAAACACATCACACAGTCCAAAGGTGACCAAAATGTATAAAATATATAGTTGGTCTTTAAAAAAAAATAGTGTAGTGTACGTGTATACAAGAATATAATCACAAATTAGTTTCCGCAACTATATTTTTGATCGCTAGGCCAACTACTGTTAACTTGCTACGACTCTTAGAATTCCAGCAGGCATACATTTAGCATCACATTTATCGTTTTAAGATGCACGTAATCCACGCATACTTTGCGAGATGTATATAAATACAGGCACTATACATGTTTCATGTTTATATTTTATTCGGCTTTGTATGGACATTACAACAGATGTAAAGCCATTTTTGCAAGAAACAAAATTAATGCATGTACTGATCACCATTACACGGTGAACATTTGATCTAAACTGTCACATTGCATGGCCATTAGACATTGAAAGCATTAAGGTTTTTTTTTAATGTCTGCACATTTAGAAGTTAAACTACAGTCAATTTTACACTGAAGTCAAATGTGGTGGTAAAAACAATTATATTGTATAGTTTGTTGTCTCAGCTTCGGGCTTCTTTGACGGGTCTCCTCCTTTCTCCTCGTACAATTCGGTGAATGGATACTGCTTCGGTAACTGCCACAATAAAAAAAAAACGCAAAGTAGCAGGCAGTCAGTGACACGTGCCCATTAAAATAACATGGGACTGTACGCTTAAGGTGGTCGACATTGCGTTACAGAGTCAACGCAGCTACGCAAACAATAAAAAGCCGCCCGCTGGTCATGCGGAGAACGAATGTACTTCTGTTTGTTACGCGGCGAACTAACTGACGGCCGAAGCACACACCACGGGGCGGAACAAGGGAAATTGGTTTCCGAGCCAGAAGAACAGCAGCATGCCTCCGATGAAACCAAAGAGCTGCCTGCACATGGTGTGCCACGGCACGAGCAAGGGCGTCGTGTCCACTCGGTTCCGCGTGTACATGTCAAACTCAAAGTGCATCTGGAACAGTGGGAAGAAAAACAAAAAATGCACGTCAAGACACGAACGAACGCATGCACGCGCGTGTGGACTGCAACAGCAACACCTTACATTCTCTGGCACGAGTTTTTTTTTTAATTGCAGGTTTCAGTTTCATTTATGTTGGTATAGCCCTGTGAGCCATTCGGCTCTTGAATCGGGTGCAACCGCAACAAACAAAAAACACGAACAAGAAAAACACCTTAAAGTGCCGATGCGCAAACAGAAAAAAACTGCAAAGTCTTCCAGAAAAAAAGCACCGTACACCACCAAAGCTGTGTGCAAAAATCCCAGTGGGATGCAAGTCAAACAACAACAACAACCACAAGACAACTTAGATTAAAGCCAGCTAATGTGGAAGCACGCAGCTTTGGGTTTGGCTTTATAAACGCGTGAGAGTAATACACGAGCACCTTACCGGCTCTCCCCAGTTACGTCTCAGATCTGCGGAATCCCAGTTGTAGTGCGGATCCTTTTCATGTTGCGACTTTTCCGGAAGCTGAGGATAATCGCCATACCTATAAGCAGGAGAAGCAAACAGTGTATTTACATTTTTTTATTGACGCAAGTTCATAAAGCGCACACCATTCCAAAGAGGAGACATGTGACCACAGCAAGACAATGCGGGTTAGTGATGAGACTGCTGAGGTGGAAAATAACATGGAATGACTTACGAACCTGTGCCACATTCCTTTACTATTTTCCATTTAAGTTCTCCTCCGTGAAAATATTTAGTCAAATTTGTAAACGTTTTAAAATTCCACAAGGGATTCAGGACACTGTATACGGTAGAGGATCAAGGGGCCCCAATGTGGGACAGTCACAACATTAGTCGTGGGCTGTAAAGAGAATATGCTGCGAGGCGTTCATAAGACAGCGGACATGGGCTAAGTGGCAGTCACCTTTAACCACGAGGCAGGGATGCAGACACACGTACAGGGTTGAGAGGCAGGTGCGGACAGGCAGATATAAACAACGAGAGGAGGCTCCTGAGATAGTGAGATATGGTGCACAAAGCAGAACGGTAAAGAGGCACAAGAATTGTAGCTGCTGCTAAAGCTTTTGCAGACTTACAGGAATGTGCAGACCTGCATGTATGTACCTTGACATTCTTCAGCACCTTAAGTAGCCAACCGTGCTAATCGGAGGTGCACGAGGGGGGAAGGACGACAAACTAAACGCCAAGAGCAGTATTAAATAAACGAGGTTTCAATCCAGATTTAGAAATCTTGGGAGTGAATAGCATGGCCCTGGCAATATTTTCCGAGAATATTCCCAAGTGGTGATCACGTAGCCTTGTGCAACACAGCGATGTTTTTGTTTTGTTAAAACCCTCCTTACTCAATCTCCAATGCTGCATGGGGCCATCCATTTAGCACGTACGCATGGAAGGGGGAGGTTAACCCAAATGCGTAATCTTGATTTGAGGCTTTCGTGACTGCAGGAATCCACGCTCTTTGGTTCTTTCGGTAAAGTCGCGTAGACAGAAAATTAACAGATCTATTAATTTTGGAGGGGGGAGTTAATTTTATATCGACGTGACTTTACCGAAAGAACCAAAGAAAAAATGCGTAGCTTGCGTATGGGGGGGGGGTCTACTAACAATGCGTGCGTACAGGGAGGAGGTGGGGGGGGTTACGTTTTGACAGATTTTTGCGTACGTACTAATTGGATGGCCCCAATCTGCAAAAAAACGACCTCTGGCTGAATGGGGCGCCTCCGCTGACGGTGGTGCCGCTCACACGGCACGGCATCAGCAGTGGGAAAACGACCTGACTGACGCCTCCCGGTTTCCATTTGAAGCTTTCGTGACTGCAAGGATTCATCTTCTTTGGTTCTTTCGGTAAAGTCACCACGTAGAATGAGAATAAAATAACAAAATAACACAATTCTCACGACGTTTCGGCCACAACGCAAGCGGCCGTCTTCAGGTGAAAGGTACAGACCTGTCGGGACGACAGAGCTTCAAGCTCTGCGTTGTGGCCGAAACGTCGTGAGAATTTCATCGTGTTATTTTATTATTTTATTCTCGTTCTACGTGGTGACTTTACCGAAAGAACCAAAAAAGATGCCTCCCGGTGCAGCTGCAGCAGCAACGTTGCGCCGACGCCGATCCTTTCCACGGGGGAGATAATAATTGTCCGTCGAGCGGTCGAGAACCGAGTGTCAGGAGTGTCTCCATTACCCCATTCCGTCATCCGGGTAGGGCTTGTAGTCGGAAGGGTGCATGTTGTATTTACGAGCTGCGGCTGCCACTTCCTCCGGAGTCTTTGGATACGGTCCTGGAAGCTGGCTCTTTGAGCTGGTGGATGCTTTGGGGTGGGGAGGAACATCCATTCACGCAAAGATAAATAGAAACACGTGAACTCCGTGTGCACGATACGGAGATGTGGTTATTACGAGCTCTCAACTCAAACTATTTTTTTTATTTGAACAGGTAAGGCCCACAGAGCGAGACTCTGTTAGATAGCTCTTTTTCAGAAGCGACCACGAATGGTGGCTGAACGAATTGGCTTATCACGTGGAAATGTATGGCAACCAAATATTCGAAATGCGTGGACCCGGAGAAGAATCCACGCTACCACAAGGATAGAGAGACACGCAAACTCCAAATATACAGCAGCAGCAGCTGCACACCAGGCGAGGTAGTTAACATCTCCTAGCCACCGTGATGATGATGAGAGAGAGACAGAGAGACACGCAAACTCCAAATATACAGCAGCAGCTGCACACCAGGCGAGGTAGTTATCATCTCCTAGCCACCGTGATGATGATGATGAGAGAGATGGAGAGACACGCAAACTCCAAATATACAGCAGCAGCTGGCGTCAGGGTCGGGATCGAATCCACGACCTCCTGCACACCAGGCGAGGTAGTTAACATCTCCTAGCCACCGTGATGATGATGAGAGAGAGATAGAGAAACACGCAAACTCCAAATATACAGCAGCAGCAGCAGGCGTCAGGGTCGGGATCGAACCCATGACCTCCTGCACACCAGGCGAGGTAGTTAACATCTTACCACGGCGGCGTCCTCTCACCCCCTCAATCGATAACGTCCTCAATCTCCTAACAACCTCATCACTCCCCTCAACTTTCATCCTCTTACCATCACCTTCCTCACCCCCCTCACCACCTCGCCCCCTCACCACCGCCCCCCCCTCACCACCTCCCCCCCCTCCCCTCACCACCTCCCCCCCCCTCCCCTCACCACCTCCTCCCCCCTCACCGCCTCCTCACCCCTCACCACCTCCTCCCCCCTCCCCCCTCCCCGCCTCCTCACCCGAGGCCGCCGCGACTCCAAGCCGCACGCCTCCCGCCCACGGGGCCGCGAGGGGGGCCGCGAGGCGTGCGCGAAGGAGCGCGCAGCGGGCGAGCGCCATCGCGATCAGTGCAGGAGGCTGCTGTGGGCGGTGGCCTCTGCCCCGTGACCGCGTTTGTAAAATGACGGCGCGGCTACGGCAAGCCGCGTGTGGTGATGGTGGTGGTGGGGGGGGGCGAGCGAGAATGACGTCACGTTTGATTTTCGAATCGTCAACGTCGTTCCGTAATAGAGATTGTTTGTTTGTTTTTGTTGTTCGGAGGGATCGCGTAAGTAATATTAAAGGTGTCGTTAAACCCGCCACAGGCGAATAAGGGGCCGTGCGTAAATGACGTCACGCACCTGGGGGGGGTCAGACATTTGTGACGAGGGGGTGTTTAATAAATGTGACGTCACATCAAAATACGCAACTTTATATAAATATAGACAACACGTTCTAATTTTGATTTAATAAATGTTTTCTCCTACAACATCAGAGTGCAGCGCCACATTAAATACGCACTACAATGGCAATAGTTTAAAGCAATTTGAAGCATGTTTTATTTTGGGGGGGGGGGGGGGCGGAGCTCTGTGACGTCATATTTGAGGGGGGTCTGACTTTTTGTGACGCCGTCAAAAATCGCGTGACGTCATTTATGGACGGCTCCTAAGCAAGGTTCGTCACGCACACAAAACCTGCCAATTCGTTACGACGTTTCTCCAGTAATTACAACCGGCTTCGTCAGGCTACGGCCAGGTTTTTTGAAGAAGTCCTGTTGAAGTGGAGGGGGATTAATAAATACATTAATTGTCTCGTGCGTTGCCAGAGCGATGTTTAATTAGGATCGGGTGTGGGTACTTTCTCGAGTAGGTTACGCCTCGACTTTATCTTAACGAACGAAAGAAATAACCCTGAAATTATAACCGTGACGTCATTTGCACGGGACGAGTGAGTGACGACACGGCACAAGGGGGCGTGTGAGTGACGTCATGTTTTCGGGCTCTGTGTGTGTATACACGTAATGTCTCCGCGGGTGGCGATACGTCGGTGGCGACGTCATTTCTCCGCGAGTAGAGATGCGTGGATGCGTGACGTCATGTAGTCTCTGAGTTGAAAGGAGACGCGGCTTTCGGGCGGCACGCCGCGGGCGGAGCGGCTGACGTCATGTTTCTGCGGGGGATACAAGAGTGAGTGACGTCAATGTCTCTGCGTGGGAATACGAGAGCGAGTGACGCCACGTCCCCACAGGTTGGGAGTGGGGGGGGGAATACGTGCGGACCAACGTAATGTCTCCGCGGGGGAATTTGTGAGCGAGTGACGTGTTATCTCCGCCGATGGTGGGGTGGAGGGCGGAGGTAAATACGCGTGTGGGTTGACGTCATGTCATCTGTATTAGCTTTGTAAGGAGACGCGGCAGCGGCTATGGGTGGCGTTGCTCGGCGCGCCGCTGGCTCGGCGCTTCTTGGCCTCGCTCTCTACCTCGCCGTCTCCCTCTGCAGGAGCTTCAACGATCCCGGGACGTCGCGCGCCGCCTGGGCCGATCAGAAGGTTAACGAGGGGGAGACGAGGCGAGGCTGTGTGTGTCTGTCTGTCTGTGTGTGTCTGTCTGTGTTTGTCTGTGGGGGTGGGTGCGAGGGGGAGAGGCGGACCATTTTATTTCTGTTGCGTCGAAACCTTCCTGGACGAGAGACGGAGAGCGACAACATCCAGGGACAAGTCACGCAGGGAAGAGACAGAGACAACACGGAGAGAGAGAGAGACACACGGAGAGAAGCTGACACAGACACGGAGGGGGGAAGAGCCAAACCTGTTGCGCCATATTAATCCTTGCAGCAGATGTCAGTGAATATCAACACGTTGAATCTTTATCTCCGTGACTTTACCGAAAGACCCAGAGAATACGTTAACTACAAACACGGGGGACACATTGTGTTTGTCGGTATCAAAGTATATTAAAATATAAGAGGAATGGTTTGAGCCCCTTTGTGTTGAGGTGTTTTTGTTTGTATGTTCACCACAGGCTACCGCGTGTGGTTAATGCAGTCACTTGATTCATTGCAAAAAAAGTGTCTTATATTTGGGGTTTGAACATCTTAAACACAACTACTGTTTCATTGCCAGACAGGGTAAAATACCTATTATTATTTGTTCAAACGCATTAATATTAATGGCTAGAATATTTACACTGGAGGAATCCGATGAGCTATAAAGCTATTCACATATTTCCAGTCGTATACACAGATGCCCAGTGCTGTAGTTTCACAGATGCCCAGTAGTTGAACAGATGTCCAGTGGTTTCACAGATGTCCTCATCATCTTTGTCGTTGTCATTATTCCCTGCGGTGGTGCTTTGTTCGCAGTGGTCTCACCGGGCTAGCAGTCTTAACAGCAAGCAGCTGAGACGCATCGCGTCCCTGACCAACGTGGAGCGCATGTGGCACCACGAGCTGCAACCCATGCTGAGGGAGCGGGTCCCAGGATCTCCTGGGAGCAAGGCTGTCCAAGAGGTGAACGAGAGAGGCCCGTGCCTAGGGTATGCGTCGGAATCCGGGCGACCGTCCCGGGCCCCGTGCTTTGGGGGTGGGCGGGGGGCGGCCGTGCTTCCACGAGGTGACGGCGTCAGTTTGAAGGCGGTCCCATTGGGTGGGCAGGCCCACACGGTGCGATTTACCCCCCTGCTATGGACGTGCCCCTGGATAGAAGTTGTTGTTGCACACCCCTTATACCACTTTGGCCAGAGCAAGTGTTCAATTAACACGTGGATATTACCACTAAGCCGATACATTGATCATTTTTTTTTTGGGGGGTGGGGAAGCTTATCTTATCTTCTATTGATGTAGCGCCTTTATCCAAGGCGCATTACAAGGATTATGAGTGGTACAATGAGGGTAGCAAAGGGTGATGCTGTGAATAGGGATGAGGGATGGGGAGGGAGGTTTTAGTAGTGGGTACGGGAATTACGGTGGGTACCTAGGCAATGGAGGCAGTGCCGAATTAAGTTAGTGCGGGGCCTGCAGCATATGTTATTATTTGTACATTAAAGTAATTGGATTTTTTCATTTGCTATACAGCCAGATGATACGACAAATCGGTAACCTTATACACCCAGTCGTTCGTAAAAGTTGAAGGCGGTATAGTACTATAGTAATAGAGCAAGTGCAGAATCACTGAACCGGAATTGATAGCTTGAAAGCATTTAGCGCGGGGCCCTTGGAAGTGCGAGGCCCATAGCTACTACATATGTAGCTACTTGTGCTGCTAGGACAATCCGGTACTGCATGGAGGGAAGGATGGGCCAGTGAGAAGAGGAGCGGAAACTCGACAGGGGGAGGGTGCTTCTCGCTGAATGTGGAAGTTTTTATCCCAAAATGTCTGTGTTGTCGTGTTTGGGTCTTTTGAGATCGCAAAGCACCTGACCGTGAAGAACATCTTACACATGTAAATAATAATAATTATTATTATTATCTCTGGCTACAATTCTTTCCGCCCTGAAGCTCATGGAGCAACAGCCTTCAAACCACATCCGCTGTACAAATCTTGGCAGCTGCAGTTGCGGTTATACTTTGGTGCTGGTGGCGATGATGATGCACAACTGGACAATTACTATCTCCTATCTCCGCTGACCGTGCGATTTGTCTCGCTTTACCCCCTTGAGACGCCACGCATGCCCCCCTCATCGGGAGGTACCCCCCCCCCCCTCGATGGGGGGGTTATGCGTTCTACAGGTTAGGAACAAGTGATAACGATGACAGGGGTTGTCACGTGTAGTGTTTGGGTTGCTTTACGTCCTCGCTGTACTCTGCATTTGTTTTGCACGTAGATATACCCCGGTCACTTGCAAGTGAGATTCAAGCCTGATGTCTTGGAGTTTAAATTTTGATTTAAAGCTTTCGTGACTGCAGTAATTCATATTCTTAGCTCTTTCGGTAAAGTCACGTTGAAGGGAAAACAATAAAATATATATAAAACAAAAATTCTCACGACGTTTCGACCATAACACAAACGGTCGTCATCAGGTGTGTCGGTCTGCATTAATTTATTGATTTTTAAGCGGTGTCTTCATTTATTTATAAAAAACGTCAGCGCCACGCGCAGCGATTTGGCAGTTTATTTAGAAGGACTAGTCCATCTATGTTCTGAAAAGAGGAGGGGGGAGACGAAAAATTAATGTATGCTGTCTGAAAGCCACTGTAAGCGTGAACAATCAATTAAGACCTGAAATGGTTTTTCAAATCTTTCCAATGATTGCTAAGCCAGAATCCATCTTCTCGGTTGAAATTGTCTGTGCTTGTATATGTGGATAGCCTCATGAACGAATCTCTCATGGTAGCCAGATGGCTTACAAAGAACCTCTGTCTTGGAAAAGTCAATGTCATGTGAGCCGACTGAATTTTAACAATGATCTGCCACGGCCGAGGTGTTGGTCCTACCGTGTTTAAGGTCTGCTTTGTGTTCACGAATGCGGTCCGAGACATGGCGTTTGGTTTCTCCAATGTAACTACTACCACAGAGGCAACTTAGTTTGTAGACACCAGGGTACTGTATGTCCGGAATCACATCTTTTACAGATGGAACCAGATCACGGATTTTATGTAATGTGTTGAAACGGACCTGGATCTTGTGTTTATTCAAGATTTTGGAGATCTTTTTTGTGATCCCCGCAATGTAGGGTAAAGTGATGGTTTTGAAAGGCTCCTCAAGAGGGTCCTTCTTCATGGTTTGAGTGATTGCTTTGCGGATTGTATAGTCGGAGTAACCATTAGCCTTAAGAGCTTGGTGTATGTGCTTGAGTTTACTGCCTATGTGTTCCTGGTCGGATATGCATTGGGCTCTATGATACAGAGTATTGATGAGAGAATTCTTCTGTGATGGATGGTGGTGGGAATCCGGTTTCAGATAAGCATCCGTATGGGTAGCTTTCCTGTAGACAGAGTGGCTCATTGAACCATTAGGTCTCTTTTTAATTAGGACATCCAAAAAAGGTAGCTTGCCATCTGTTTCGACATCCATGGTAAATCTGATGGCTGGGTGTATGGAATTGATGTGGTCGAAGAATTGGTCTAGAGCAGGCCGGCCATGTGGCCAGATGACAAAAGTGTCATCCATGTACCTCTTCCATAAGGTTGGGCACAGAGTGGCAGTCTGGATGGCGTCAGTCTCAAATTTCTCACTGGAAAAACCACCTCTGCGGTACAAAATTCTACTCACCTGGTATCGACAATCAAGGGTATTTCCCTGTCCTCAGACGACCTGCTTGTCAGTTTTGATGTAGTTTCCTTATTCACCAAGGTTCCTGTACCCGACACCATCGCAATCATTGAAGACTTGGTTCATCAAGGACTAAACACTGAGGTACCCCCCCTGGTGAGACACTTTAACCAATACATACTTCACTTGGAATGGAACTTTCTACAAACAAGCTGAGGGCACCCCAATGGGCTCCCCCCTATCTCCGGTTATAGCTAACATTTTCATGGAGAAATGTGAGACTGACGCCATCCAGACTGCCACTCTGCGCCCAACCTTATGGAAGAGGTACGTGGATGACACTTTTGTCATCTGGCCACATGGCCGGCCTGCTCTAGACCAATTCTTCGACCACATCAATTCCATACACCCAGCCATCAGATTTACCATGGAAGTCGAAAAAGATGGCAAGCTACCTTTTTTGGATGTCCTAATTAAAAAGAGACCTGATGGTTCAATGAGCCACTCTGTCTACAGGAAAGCTACCCATACGGATGCTTATCTGAAACCGGATTCCCACCACCATCCATCACAGAAGAATTCTCTCATCAATACTCTGTATCATAGAGCCCAATGCATATCCGACCAGGAACACATAGGCAGTGAACTCAAGCACATACACCAAGCTCTTAAGGCTAATGGTTACTCCGACTATACAATCCGCAAAGCAATCACTCAAACCATGAAGAAGGACCCTCTTGAGGAGCCTTTCAAAACCATCACTTTACCCTACATTGCGGGGATCACAAAAAAGATCTCCAAAATCTTGAATAAACACAAGATCCAGGTCCGTTTCAACACATTACATAAAATCCGTGATCTGGTTCCATCTGTAAAAGATGTGATTCCGGACATACAGTACCCTGGTGTCTACAAACTAAGTTGCCTCTGTGGTAGTAGTTACATTGGAGAAACCAAACGCCATGTCTCGGACCGCATTCGTGAACACAAAGCAGACCTTAAACACGGTAGGACCAACACCTCGGCCGTGGCAGATCATTGTTATAATTCAGTCGGCTCACATGACATTGACTTTTCCAAGACAGAGGTTCTTTGTAAGCCATCTGGCTACCATGAGAGATTCGTTCATGAGGCTATCCACATATACAAGCACAGAGACAATTTCAACCGAGAAGATGGATTCTGGCTTAGCAATCATTGGAAAGATTTGATAAACCATTTCAGGTCTTAATTGATTGTTCACGCTTACAGTGGCTTTCAGACAGCATACATTAATTTTTCGTCTCCCCCCTCCTCTTTTCAGAACATAGATGGACTAGTCCTTCTAAATAAATTGCCAAATCGCTGCGCGTGGCGCTGACGTTTTTTATAAATAAATAAAGACACCGTTTAAAAAAAATAATGCAAACCGACACACCTGATGACGACCGTTTGAGTTATGGTCGAAACGTGAGAATTTTTATTGTTTTATATATATTTTATTATTTTATTGTTTTCCCTTCAACGTGACTTTACCGAAAGAGCTAAGAATATGTCTTGGAGTTTCTTCCCCGGTTCAAACTAAATAAACACCAGTGCCATTGACTTGATAGACAAGTACTGTCGTCGGAAGAAAAAAAAATAAACCGTTGTGCTAAGAGGTGAATGTTGTTGTTCTTCATTGTCATGATTGCGTCTCAGCACATCACGGGGCGGTTGAAGTTGCTGGACGCCGGCTGGAACATTGAGACGGACTCCTTCAGGGAAAGAACGCCGCAGGGAACGAAACAGTTCAGCAACATCATCGCCACTCTCGATCCAAAGGCCAAGCGACGGCTGGTCTTCGCTTGCCATTACGACTCGAAATATTTCCCGACAAGCGATGACGGGAGAGTTTTCATCGGCGCCACGGATTCCGCGGTGCCCTGCGCAATGCTCCTGGACATGGCCTACAGCCTCGACAGCTACCTTAATAAAACGAAAGAAAGCGTAAGTACTTGCGCCGCGGGCTAATCTGCGCGTTTTTGGCCGCCCTTGCGAGTTGTTCTGCAAGTGTTCTTCACTCATTTTCAGATGGAGGGCGGCGGGGAGGGCGGTAGGGAGTCACTTTCACCGATAAGACATCGTCGGTGTGCGAGAGCTGCCACGCATTTGAAACCATTATGGGTTTGACAGCAGCAGCGTTTTCATATCTCTGTATTGTCGGTGGGGGCCGCACTAAAGGCCACCAGGGGCCTTGCAATGACGAACACTGTGCGAGAGAGGGTCTCTGAACCTCCTCCTGTTATGGCATCTCTGCCCGTTAGATATTCCCGCACCTCCCATTAGCACGGTTGTGCAACGTACGGTGCGAAAGAAGTTCAGCATGCATAAATCACTTCAGAGCAATGTCTATGCCGGATGAAGGCATTTAAAACTCACCTGAGAGGGTGAGGTTTGGGAGCATTGCAGGGCAATGAAAAATTGGCCAAGTGGAAGTATCAAAAAAAATAAATAAACAGAGTCGCTGAGCGGTGATCTAAAAATGACAAACTTCCTGCAACAGACGGCATAAACCAAAGTTCCGAAAGGTGACGAGTGTAACACGTTTCTTGAGTTATCCGAACTTGGGCGGGGGGGGGGGTTATAAAAGAGCGACGATGGCAGGGAATTCGAGAGTGGAGGGAGAAATGCGACGAGCTCGTTTGGGATATCTCAGGGGGTCGGCAACCCTGTGGCTCCGGAGCCGCGTGTGGTGGCTCTTGCGGGCAGCCATTATAAAAAAAAATTAAAATTAATTCCCCCCCCCCCCCCCCCCCACCAGCCACCAAAAAAATCTCATAAAACTCCGTTAATGAAGTGTTCGACTTGAGTCGACCTCTCTCCCCGTCGTCGCGATGGCGAATATCCGACCGAACGCTACGTTGAGATTCGGCAACAGCGGCGTGCGCCTGCTCACCGTCGCCAATCGCCTGCACCGTGTTTATTTTTCAGGAGGGGCCGACTCGCGCGGATGTCACGCTGCAGTTGATCTTCTTCGACGGAGAGGAGGCCTTCCACGAGTGGACGCAAACCGATTCGCTCTACGGATCCCGGCATCTGGCGAAAAAAATGACGCGGGTTGGCCATCCGGCCGGAGACCCAGACACCACGCAGATTCACGCCATCGTACGTACACCCTCAAAGGAATGGCGCTGCCTCCCGTGGTCGCCTACCCCCCCCCCCCCCCCAGTGATCCGTGGATCAAACAAATCACTCGGGACGCCGGTGTACGGCAGCAAGGGCGGTTTGTGCGAACGCTCTCGCAAGAGGTCGCACGTTTGGCGCAAAGATCCTTCGCAGACTTATGCGTGATGAATGAATGTCTACGTACGCCATGCCCTCCTTGTCACTAGTGGAGAGCGGGGGGGGGGGGGAATCGGTTCCCTTGACGGAATGCTGTCTGTGGAAATTATCGGGATGGTCATTCGTATTTTTGTTGTACCCGTGTGCATCGCTGTGAATTGTCAAGTCTTTCAAGTTGAATTTTTTGCTTGACCCAGGCGAGAACGCAATAGCCCAGGATATCGTCTCGTCTGCGATGGTGACCTGGTTGCACCGAAATGACTGAAGTGAAACGATTACAGTGAAGTCCACCAATTAAGCAAAGATAAATCGGAGCAGATTCAACTGTTTCGTATGAGATCTGAAAAATATTTCATGAACAAACGAATGATAAATAAACTATCCTCGTCTCACCTGGTTAAACTAATCAACTTGACTTGGGTAATCCTCCTTTTACTGACGGATGGAAATCGGAATTAATTAGTTCGGGATCCATTCCTTTCTAAATTGAAATGCACAAGTCGCTGTTAATTGTGTTTATCTTTGAAATGACGATGCTGAATTATCTTCTTGTTTAGGACATGTTTGTGCTGCTGGACCTCATTGGTGCCGTGAATCCCGTTTTCGTGAGCCACTTTGAAAATACGGAATATTGGTTCAAGAGGCTGATGTCCATCGGTAAAGTGCATTTGATTTAATCGGTTTTCAGAATATCGGCAGCGGTGTGCCTCTACGCAACAACAAACTTAATTGCTGTTTTATCTCATTTTTTTCTTCAGAGCGACGCTTGCACAGTCTCGGACATCTTGAGGACCATCCGTATGAGCTTCAGTATTTTCACAACCACCACAAGTCTTGGCCTGTCCAAGATGACCACCTGCCGTTTCTGCAGCATGGTAAACTGCCTCTCGCTGTTTATACTCACCACTATACCACTAACTGGCTGGCAAGCTGCTTCACTCACTCTGTCTGTTGTCGTTGTTGTATCCTCAAATCTTGTAACTCAATTTTAACCCACTTCCCAATGTGGTATCGACTGCAAACTTGGTATACTTATGTCATACTGATGACAATACTATATTCTATCATAAAAAATATAATTTTAAACATAATTTTTTATATGTAATTTTTCGGCTTGGGTCTAATTGTCCACGCTCAACTGACGTTGGCTGTAAATGACCACGGTCCCCTTACGTTATGGCGAGCTTCGGGGCCACTTCCTGGAGTCGTGGAGTTCTGCCATTACTCGTACGGTACATTTCATTAAAGCGTGTTTTTTAAAAAGTTTTTTAAAATATTTTTTACATCACATTCCTAGGCTATACCCTAATACCTCAAGGGGTTATTGGATTGTAAGGTTACTTACTCCACGTGTGACGGCCTTGTGAGACGTACCCAGGTGTGAATGCAGTTGAACATAGAAATGTAAATTTTATACTTATAGAGCGCCTCCGTTCAAGGCGCTCGACGTAATTTAAAAGCGGGTAGAAAAAGAGTGAGTTAGATGGCGGGGGCGTGCAAGGGCCGAGAAACGGGTGACCGCTGTAGAGGGCATATGGGGTCATGGAAGGGCTTATTGAAGAGGAACAAAATGTGCGGACAGAAACACCCGTGCTCATTCAGTGGACGGGCACGGGCCCATAAAATGTCAGCTGTTAGTAAGCTTCAACGAGCGAACAGTCCGCGCAGAAGGCGTGTTGCGCCGTGTCGCTTGGAGTGCGAGCTGACGCCCACGCACAACGGCTTCCTCCACGTGGCAGTGCTGCTATGGTACGGTGTAACGTCCACGATAGCTGCGTCGTTCATTTTGCTAAATATCGATCATCCTAATTTTTTCAGGTTTTTTTTTACTTCCCGTCACCTTGCAACGTTGCTCGTCATGTGCGCACCTCCCTTCCCGATGACGACACTGTGTGATGTCATGTTCCGATCATACATGTCCTGCACGTGGCTGCCCTTCCACCCCCACCCATCATGTCGGGTCATCGCGCGGTGTGTACCGCGTGACGTTATCTCACTGAGTGGCTTGTGAACGTAACATCATTGCTAACTGAATACGTGCAAGGGCCCAGCATGAACATCCACACGCACTCACTCAAGGGGCTCACCACCAGACCTTCGTTGGGCTCCAATGGGGAGACGTTTATATCCCCGGTGTAACAGGGTGAGATCATTCGGCCTCTTTTGGGCAACATTCAGTGAAGTTACGTAGGGTGCGAAAGAAGTTGAACGTACTTGCGTACGACATCGGAGGAACGTGTTTTAAACCACACTGCGGGCTGAGACCCGTGTCTACGGACAAAGCGAGTCCCACCAGAGCCCCGAAGCCCTGTCCACACCTAATTGATCATCTCTTCACATTAATTGGTGTTGGTGGAAATGATATTAGGTTTTTTTTTGGCCAGCCATCGAACCAAGACGGTCACCGCATCGCGCGGCGCTTTCAAATGCGCTTCGGCGGCCGTCTGGAACGCTCTTCCGATATTAGGAAGCCACTGGAGCTACGCATTTAAAAAATCATCAAGGTTTGAAAACTATTTTTTTTAGAACTGCTTGTGTTTAGTTTGTTTGCTTTCTCGCGCACCTCCGATTCGCACGTTTGGTTACGTACGGTGCGAAAGAAGTTCAACATACATACAACCTTTTCCAAACCTTCCACACCCTCTCCTCCAACACCCCCTACCAACACCCCCTACCAACAGACCCAAGCGATGTCAACCCCCACCCCCCCCCCCCCCCCCCCCCCCCCCCGGGCTCCTACACAAGGACAGACACGTGTTGGAAATTATTTACAGAGTCCATGTCATATGCGTGGTTTTAGCTTTTTTTAAAGAACTGACAACACCACCACGTGTTTCCTGCTGTGATTGCAGGTGTTCCTGTGCTGCATCTCATATCCACTCCCTTCCCGCACGTTTGGCACACGCTGGACGACAACGAGGAAAACCTTCACCGTCCCACAATCGACAACCTCAACAAAATCCTGCACGTGTTTGTAACCGAGTACCTGAAGTTCTTGTAATTTACTTTTCATAACGTCGACCAACAGCGCGGTTGTGTTTGTGTATAATCATCCATTGTGGACATTCCAAAAAGTAAATGTGTGGTCCATTTTAATTGCAAATCGATATTTTTTATGACTTTAAATGTCATGCATGGCAGCGTATATATCTAAGCGTGTTGTTGTGCGCACTTAATAATTCCAATGTAATCTTCACGCTTTGCCGTGATCGTACTGTGCACTTAATTGGCCGTTGCACATTCTTGCTGGAAATGTTTTATTTTGTCAACGATGGGTACTGTCAGTAAAGTTTTTTTCTTACGGCGTCGCGCATCCCCCGACTTGCGTTTCTCATTCCTGGTGAATTGTTATTCTCTTCACGCAGACCGCCAATTTGTATTCAAAACAGCATTCAAGAGCGACTGGAAACGCGGCTTTTCACAAATGTAGCCGAGCGGTGGTGGCCACGCACGTGCGTCGCCTGCAATCCGGCACTCCGGAGGTGAAGGGGTCGGTGGGTCGCGCGAATGTTTTGCGCAACTCCCCTTCCCCTGGGCACCGAGGAGGAGCCACAAGGACAATGTGGCAGACTAACACAGCCGTCGGCCCACGCGGTTTAGCCCGTATTCTTGTACGGGGGAAATTGAGTTTTCGGGTCCATGCAGCGTACAGCCGTTTCAAAACGGGCAGCAAATGCGGGTTGATGGTTTTCAGCCTTGTCGCCGGTAACGACACGGCAAGCCCCATAACATCACATTTGGTTTCGGGCGAAATTCAATTTGTATCCTAGCGTTATATCGACGCCGATGTCAGTGGTGGGTGGGCCCACGGGGGCCCACGCACCCACGTGACCTCAGAAGTAGTTCTGTGATACCCACAATTTGCGGGTCAATGGAGGCGCACGTGGATTGGCAGGTTAAAGACGTCATTGGAGCTCCAGTCGTGGGTGGTCTTGGGCAGCACGCGTCATGGCCAGGCCGCTTCTGAAAAATAAGTGAATACCTCGGTGGGCTTTGCCTGGGAGGGTGGGGACGGTGTCGTCGTATCTGTAGGCGTTTGGGTGATTCGTTTGCCTTGTTGTCACGCTCTTAGGGGCCGTCCATAAATGACGTCACGCACCGGGGGGTGGGGGGGGGGTCAGACATTTGTGACGATGTTTGACGAAGGGGGGGGGGGGTGGTTTGAGAAATGTGACGTCACATCAAAATGCGCAACTTTAAATATATATAGACAACACGTTCTACTTAATTAAATAGACTTTTTGATAAATGTGCAGCGGCACATTAAATACGCACTACAATGCCAATAATTGAAAGCGATTTGAAGCATGTGGTTTTTTTTTGGGGGGGGGGGTGTGCAGAGCTTTGTGACGTCATATTTGAGGGGGGGGGTCTGACTTTTTGTGGCGCCGTGTGACGAGGGGGGGGGGGGGCAAAAATCCTCAAATCGCGTGACGTCATTTATGGACGGCCCCTTACCCCTCCCGACTGGACATCTGTGAAAAAGAGCTTCGGAGCTTATCGGATTGCTCCAGTACAAATACATATTCTGATTCAAGAATAATGCCTGTTTGAGGTGGGGTCTTCATCCAGCAGTGTATTTATGATAGTGGATGGTGATGACAGGTTTCAGATTTGGGTGGGGGAATCGATTCCAGAGATCGATTCTGGTTGAGGCGCGACATGAAGTCGACTCCCAATTCCAGGATCAATTTCTCCAAATCTCGGAATCGACCATCCCAAGATTCAGGTGAGGTGGGGTGGGGGGGTGATACGAGTTGGTGCGCATGCGTTATTGTTGGGCGCTACCACCTGTGTCGCTGGGAGGGGGGACGGTTTGCTGGTGGAGTTGTGTGAAAATTACTGTAAATCTGTGAAAAATAGCTTCATAACTCATTGCATTCCTCCAATATAAATAAATATGTTGATTCTGTGTTGCTGGGCGCTGCCACCTGTGTCGCTGGGAAAGGGGTGATGGGTTACTGGTGGAGTTGTATTGCTGGGCGCTACCACCTGTGTCGCTCGGAGTGGGGGGGTTATTGGTGGAGTTGTATTGCTGGACGCTACCACCTGTGTCGCTCGGAGTGGGGGGGTTATTGGTGGAGTTGTAATGCTGGACGCTACCACCTGTGTCGCTCGGAGTGGGGGGGGGGGGAGGTTGGGTTTTTGGTGGAGTTGTATTGCTGGACGCTACCACTTGTGTCGCTGGCAAAGGGGTGATAGGTTACTGGTGGAGTTGTATTGCTGGACGCTACCACCTGTGTCGCTCGGAGTGGGGGGGAGGTTGGGTTTACTGGTGGAGTTGTATTGCTGGGCGCTACCACCTGTGTCGTTGGGAAAGGGGTGATGGGTTACTGGTGGAGTTGTATTGCTGGACGCTACCACCTGTGTCGTTGGGAAAGGGGTGAGTGGTTATTGGTGGAGTTGTATTGCTGGACGCTACCACCTGTGTCGTTGGGAAAGGGGTGATGGGTTACTGGTGGAGTTGTATTGCTGGACGCTACCACTGGTGGCTCTGAAGAGGTTAGCAGTCGCCGTGCCTCGGATGCTGTGCGCGGAGAGCGGGGAACGGCGGAGAGAGGTGAGAGCGGAGTGCCGAGGAGTTGCTGGGGGGGGGTTGAGAGTACAGGGAGCCTGAGGAGTGCGGTTAGTGGCGAAGAGAGGAGTTCGGTGGAGTGAATCGAGTGCAGGAGAGTGTGAGTGGGATGTTTAAGAGAGTGTAAAGTTTATCATGATTATTGTTGCGCCTGTTTTACCCTGGCAAAGTCTCAGTTGAGTGTCAATGCCTCCCCTCTTTCGAGAGGATCCTGACACATCTGTGGTCGCTGCTGCTGAGGGATGCGATGCGATGCGTACCGGTTGCGTCGTGAGACTTTAGGGTTTTTTTCTTTAGTTTGTGTCAAGGTGGGGAGTTGTTGGTGAGAGAGGGGAGAGGGTCTGGGGAGAGTCGAGGGGAGTTGTTGGTGAGAGAGAGAGGGGAGAGTGTCAGGGGGAGAGTCGAGGGGAGAGTCGAGGGGAGTTGTTGGTGAGAGAGGGGAGAGAGTGTGAGAGGGGAGTTGTTGGTGAGAGAGGGGAGAGAGTGTGAGAGGGGAGTTGTTGGTGAGAGAGGGGAGAGAGTGTGAGAGGGGAGTTGTTGGTGAGAGAGAGGGGAGAGTCGAGGGAGAGTCGAGGGGAGTTGTTGGTGAGAAAGGGGAGAGTCGAGGGGAGTTGTTGGTGAGAGAGGGGAGAGTGTCAGGGGAGTTGTTGGTGAGAGAGAGGAGAGAGTCGAGGGGAGTTGGTGAGAGAGAGGGGAGAGAGTCGAGGAGAGTTGTTGGTGAGAGAGGGGGGAGAGTCGAGTGGAGAGTCGAGGGGAGTTGTTGGTGAGAGAGAGGGGAGAGTCGAGGAGAGTTGCAAGCTGAGTTGGCGTAACGCGTCGAAGAGTTGAAGAGTGCATTGGGAGAGTGCGTGGGGCGCAAGGGGGAACTGCGAGTGAGAGTTTGTTGGAGCGAGAGGAGTGAGAGCGAGTTGAGAGGAGTGAGGTGAGTGAGCTGAGTGAGGTGAGTGATGAGGGAGTGAGGTGAGTGATGAGGGAGTGAGGTGAGTGATGAGTGAGTGAGGTGAGTGATGAGGGAGTGAGGTGAGTGATGAGTGAGGTGAGTGATGAGCGAGTGAGTGAGGTGAGTGATGAGTGAGTGAGGTGAGTGATGAGCGAGTGAGGTGAGTGATGAGCGAGTGAGGTGAGTGATGAGTGAGGTGAGTGATGAGGGAGTGAGGTGAGTGGTGAGTGAGGTGAGTGATGAGTGAGGTGAGTGATGAGGGAGTGAGGTGAGTGATGAGGGAGTGAGGTGAGTGATGAGCGAGTGAGTGATGAGTGAGGTGAGTGATGAGTGAGTGAGGTGAGTGATGAGTGAGTGAAGTGAGTGATGAGTGAGTGAGGTGAGTAATGGAGGGTGTGAGGTGAGGGAGTGGAGTGAGTGAGGTGAGTGGTGAGTGAGGTGAGTGAGTGAGGTGAGTTATGAGTGAGTGAGGTGAGTTATGAGTGAGTGAGGTGAGTGATGAGTGAGTGAGGTGAGTGATGGAGGGTGTGAGGTGAGGGAGTGGAGTGAGTGAGGTGAGTGATGAGTGAGGTGAGTGGTGAGTGAGGTGAGTGATGAGTGAGGTGAGTGAGGTGAGTGATGAGTGAGGTGAGTGATGAGTGAGGTGAGTGATGAGTGAGTGAGGTGAGTGATGAGTGAGTGAGGTGAGTGATGAGTGAGTGAGGTGAGTGATGAGTGAGTGAGGTGAGTGATGAGTGAGTGAGGTGAGTGATGAGTGAGTGAGGTGAGTGATGAGTGAGTGAGGTGAGTGATGAGTGAGTGAGGTGAGTGATGGAGGGTGTGAGGTGAGGGAGTGGAGTGAGTGATGAGTGAGGTGAGTGATGAGTGAGTGATGAGTGAGTGAGGTGAGTGATGAGTGAGGTGAGTGAGGTGAGTGAGGTGAGTGATGAGTGAGGTGAGTGATGAGTGAGGTGAGTGATGAGTGAGTGAAGTGAGTGATGAGTGAGTGAGGTGAGTGATGAGTGAGTGAGGTGAGGGAGTGGAGTGAGTGAGGTGAGTGATGAGTGAGGTGAGTGATGAGTGAGTGAGGTGAGTGATGAGTGAGTGAGGTGAGTGATGAGTGAGGTGAGTGAGGTGAGTGATGAGTGAGGTGAGTGATGAGTGAGGTGAGTGATGAGTGAGTGATGAGTGAGTGAGGTGAGTGATGAGTAAGTGAGGTGAGTGATGAGTGAGGTGAGTGATGAGTGAGTGATGAGTGAGTGAGGTGAGTGATGAGTGAGTGAGGTGAATGATGGGTGAGTGAGGTGAGTGATGAGTGAGGTGAGTGATGAGTGAGGTGAGTGATGAGTGAGTGAGTGATGAGTGAGGTGAGTGATGAGTGAGTGAGGTGAGTGATGGGTGAGTAGTGAGTGAGGTGAGTGATGAGTGAGTGAGGTGAGTGATGAGTGAGTGAGGTGAGTGATGAGTGAGTGAGGTGAGTGATGAGTGAGTGAGGTGAGTGATGAGTGAGGTGAGTGATGGGTGAGTGAGGTGAGTGATGAGTGAGTGAGGTGAGTGGTGAGTGAGGTGAGTGAGTGAGTGATGAGTGAGGTGAGTGGTGAGTGATTAGTGAGTGAGGTTAAAGTGAGAGAGGGAAGGATTGAGAGTGAGAGGGGAGTGAGATGCGAGGATGTAATGATTGAGTAAGACGCGAGGAAGGATTGAGAGTGGGAATGAGACGCGAGGAAGGATTGAGAGAGGGAACGACTGAGTGAATGAGACGCGAGGAAGGAGTGAGAGAGGGAACGACTGAAAGAATGAGTCGCGAGGAAGAGGAGTGAGAGAGGGAACGACTGAGTGAATGAGACGCGAGGAAGGAGGAGTGAGTGAGAACGACTGAGTGAATGAGACGCGAGGAAGGAGTGAGAGAGGGAACGACTGAGTGAATGAGAGGCGAGGAATGAGTGAATGAGAGGCGAGGAATGAGTGAATGAGAGGCGAGGAATGAGTGGCGAGGAATGAGTGAATGAGAGGAATGAGTGAATTGGAGGAATGAGTGAATGAGAGGCGAGGAATGAGTGAATTGGAGGAATGAGTGAATGAGAGGCGAGGAATGAGTGAATGAGAGGAATGAGTGAATGAGAGGAATGAGTGAATGAGAGGAATGAGTGGTGGTGGTGGTGTCTTGTTGTTGGTGACGTCACGCGGCTGGTGAGGGTCCCAGGGTGAGCCGAGCCGGCGGCGCTGGCGGCCTCTGCGGCGGCGGCGGCGGCGTTCGCGATGGCAGCGGTGACTGCGGCTCGCCGGCGGTGATGGTGGTGATGGTGGTGGTGGTATGATGATGGTGTGATGATGGTGGTGGTGGTGGTGGTATGATGATGGTGATGATGATGGTGGTGGTCGCGTTAGTAATGTGGTGGTGATGGTCGCGTTATTCATGTGGTGGTGTGATGATGGTGGTCGCGTTATTCATGTGGTGGTGATGGTGGTGGTGTGATGATGATGATTATGGTGGTCGCATTTGTAATGTGGTGGTGATGGTGGTGGTGTGATGATGATGATGATGGTGGTCGCGTTAGTAATGTGGTGGTGGTGATGATGTGGGTGATGGTCGCGTTATTCATGTGGTGGTGATGGTGGTGTGATGATGGGTGGTTGATGGTCGTGTTTAGTCATTTGGTGGTGGTGATGATGTCGGTGATGGTCGTGTTAGTAATGTGGTGATGGTAGTGATGTGATAATGGTAGTGATGTGATGATGGTGGTGATGTGATAATGGTAGTGGTGTGGTGATGGTGGTGTGATGATGGTGATGATGGTCTTGTTAGTAATGGGGTGATGGTGGTAGTGTGGTGATGGTGGTGTAATTATGGTGGTGATGGTGGTGTAATTATGGTGATGATGGTCGTGTTAATAATGTGGTGGTGGTGATGTCAGTGATGTGATGCAAATGATGGTGCTATGGTGGTAACAGTGATTTAACTCGTGGTGATGTTGGTGGTGATGTCAGCGACGCGATACAGCAAGGTTGGTGATGCTCGTCATGTAAATTGGTGGTGGCGGTGGTTGTGATGATGCTCGTGATGCTGATGGTGGTTGATCATGATGATGATGATATAAGCGTGAGGACCGAGGGAAGGTGAGCCGGGATGACATCACCCACCCCCCACCGCCACCACCTCCGAGCTAAGCGAGCTGTTGCGGGTCACTGTTGCGGGTCATTGTTGCAACCGCAGCGGTGATTTCTAGCCCCATTTGTTTTTGTAACGTGTGGCACCTCGCTCGCTCGCTCGCTTCGTCTTTTGTGTTTCTCTCGGCGACGCGATGATTTCTTTTTGTTGTTTATTTTTAAATTTTCCTCCCAACATTCCCTCGCGGCGCAGAGCAAGGAGGCCACGTTTAGACTCCCGAGTCTCGCGTTGCTTTAAATAACGAGGGGGGGGGGGGCGAGGCGAGGGAGGCCGCTGCATTCCTGGGCCATAACAGGAGCACGGCCTCGGTTCAGGGCCATGTTTGGCGAGGCCGGGCGAGGCCCCCCCCCCCCCCGGGGTCGGGTTACCTCCGTGGCGCGGTGCCCAGGTTGGCCGCTCACCACTCGTCCACCCAAGCCACTCGCCACGAACCGTACATCGCTGGCCGTGAATCGCTCGTCGACCCGCTCGTCCACCCGCTCGCTCACCCGCTCGCCCACGCGCTCGTTCACCCGCTCGCCAACCCGCTCACTCACCTGCTCGCCAACCCACTCGCTCACCCGCTCCCCCACGCGCTCGCTCACCCGCTCGCCCACCCGCTCGCCCACCCGCTCGCTCACCCGCTCGTCCACCCGCTCGCTCACCCGCTCGTCCACCCGCTCGCTCACCCGCTCGCCCACACGCTTGTCCACACGCTCGTCCACCCGCTCGCTCACCCGCTCGTCCACCCGCTCGTCCACCCGCTCGTCCACCCGCTCGCCCAACCTCTCGTCGACCCGCTCGTCGACCCGCTCGCCATGAATCGCCACAATCGACTCGTCGAGAACCGTGGAACCATTCGCCACTGGCCACTCGCCACGAGTCACCACCAACCACTCACCAACCACTCCCCACGCA